TGACGAACACCGACAACAAATTTACTCAGCCTACAAGTATACCCATTAGGGTGGTTCAACATGATTTTGCTCCACCAAGGTCAATCAATTGCAAATCAGGTTCTGATAATTCTTCCAATAGGGTTAACTACCCCATTTCCGGCCTATTAAGCACAACCCGCACTTAGTCTTTCTTAATCTAGCGCAGTTTAGCACCAAGCGGAATGTCATTATCACTGATGGCTTCCAAATTTATTTACCTTTCCGTACGTACCATAAGAAGATTTGATAAAGAGAAACTAATCGTTGAGATATTGTCAAAAGTCTAACACTGCTTCTTGACGCCAAACTCGGCCTAACGCATTGAAACGCCAATGAATTCACTTCGGCCTATCGGATGAAGATGAAAATTCATTCGGTCGGAGCGCTTCTTTTGTTTTTGGGAATAATTGGTGCAAACCTTCATATCACGCGTTCTCATTGACTTCGTTCGGTAGTTTATTAACTAAAGTATCGTATCAAACGCATAATAGACTTGTTAACTCTGAAATCATGGATTTATGGACTTCAAGTGTTCTGCTCGATAGGCCGAAGGGAATTTCATAGTTGGCAACTGGTTTCATCCAGTCTCCATTCATACTCATCACTGGTCCTCTTTGGAAGTATTGTTAGATGCTTAGATGGCCAACAAGATCACCTGGCATGACTTTTTTTTAGATCTTTTGAGCCTTAGAGCACTTCTTTCCGCTTCTAGTTAAACATGTTCATGCAAGGGCAGCAGATTGAGGATTGCCTCTAATGCTTTTTATGGGGTGCTACGCACCGCACCCGTTATTGCAATGCATGCTAGACGTTGAAGTTTTGCTAGTTTCCTCTGTTGTAGTATATTCCCCAAATCTAGCAACACGGTCATTACCCGAGTGCTGCGATGCATATTTGATAAAACAAACAAATCAAGTATCAACGTATTATGAGCGCAAAGAACTGTGGTCGCCAACTGCACATATGCTTTGTAAGCAGTTGCGATATTTATTTGTACTTTGTACTGATCGCACGATGGCACTTCCAGGCTGCTCCAAGTAGGTCACCATGCATGCGTGTACAATTGGATAGCTGAATAAACTCACTCTTGTTTTAGCCTTCTCCAAGGAAACATTTAATTTAGAGAACAGTCCCCTTCAACGAGATACGTTACACTGTGCAGTAGCCTCTTTTGATTTTGGCCACCACACTAAGGAAGCAAACGCTACTTTCAGACGGATAATTGATGTGTAAATCCACCTTGTCATTTTTGGTTTCAAACCCCACTTTCTTCCAATAGTTTTGTAGCATGCCCACAAGGCACTGGTTGCGCTTAATTAATTTATCTTTATTAGGGAGGCTTTCAGCCTTGGGCTGGTTCGCCTCCAGGCACTGGTTGCTTTATTAATCACAGAAACAAGGGAAATAAAGCCGTTGGTCCCCCGTTCATGAATTGATGGGTCGATAGGTTAGGGTCCAGGTGTGGGAGCTGCCTCCCTGGCGTCGGTAATTTTTTTCTTATTCTGTAGATCTTACTTTCGACGATATATTGCGATCTTCTAGAGAATATACCGTTTTTTTTTTAAATAGGCTGTTCTTTGAAAATTTAGAACTTTAACAGTCAAAGAACAGCCTATTATTCAAAGAAGGGTGAATTTTCTAGAAGATCATACGTTAACAGGTAATACAAATCTGTTTTTTTTTTCTTCATTCAAATCGTGCTCTCTAAAACTGCAGCCGGTAATGACAAGTAAGTCTAATAACAACAAAAATACAATAAAAAACAATGTAACAATAAGACGAAAATTAATATGTCAACGGGTGAGTCCTTTTTTTACTGGTTATGGATTGAGATTCGATCCGGAACTTGTGAGAAATGGAGGCCAACTCCCCTGCACTCGATCTCCCTAGGTCACGTCTCCTTGGTGGTTAAGCGTCGTTGATAAGTTAATGAATTCGACTGTAGAGAATCGCCCATGAAATATGCTTCCACCTGAGAGTTCCTTCCTGACATCTTCAAGTGGTGGAATTTTTTATTATTATGACTGCACGGAAAAGGTCTGCATTAAGCGGGATTTAGGATAAGAGATGAGCGGACGCGAACTGGCTGGTTTTGAGTCAAACGAACTGTCAAAGCCAGAGCCATACGAGCAGCGCCTTTCTTGATTACATTGGCAGTGTTGCTGACCCTCTCATAGTCTGCATGCTTCAATCAGATTTATTTTTATTGTTCGTGAAGTAACCCACAATGAAAACACACCAATATTTAATTTAACAACAATTTTTATTGTAATAGAATTGTTCATTATTGTTCATGATCGAATCATGTTAACAATAAAATAAATGAAAAATACGATAAAACTCATTGTAACAACATTCTATTATGTACATTCATTGTACAGCTAGGTAGCAGTTTTGCCGTTTTCGGAAGGGTACAACATTATAACAATAATTTTTATTGTCTACAATAAATATTAATGTTAGAGCATTGTTTCCACTGAAAATTTCACTGTAATTTTTTTTCGGGTAGTTATACAGTTTATGCTTTTAATGTATTTTGAGATTTGCCACTGTGGCACTGGGTTCTTATTGTGATTCCTATTGATCTTATTTTAAAAAATATCATGACTAACACAATCTTTAAACTATTCAACTGACAACGATCTGAATAGTGAGATAGGATAGTTTGATCACTCCTTGGTAACTCCCTCAATACAAACCGTGCACACTATTTCTGCGTAAAATTTGCGTCAACGTTTGATTTTTTTTCAATTAAATCAAACGATATCGAAACTGTTTTTTCAGGGTCTGCCAATTTCAATCCATAATTCTGTAAGTTAATTCCATCTTCGCATTTTACGCTTATTGCTTATCGCATATTAGTTTATTGCGTGCTCTCAACTTAGTGTTCTAGATGCACTTCCACATTATTAATTGAGAGCTTCGATGCCTTTACCATTATTTTTGCATTAGTAGGGTACTGCCTATAATCGCATGTCAGTCCCATATGGATTATCGTCAATTTTAAGATAACTATGCCAACCACTATCAATTGGCATCTACTTTCATATTATGCGATAAAATTATCCCATCAAGCAAAATAATCGCATATCAGTGCCATCCTAAAATTCAATCATTCATAGTTCAAGTTAAAGCTCTGCCTTTGGATTTGCAGATTTAAATAGCAATTTTCCATTTCCAGATTAAAATTTGAATCTGATCTTAAATTTGTCCAATATTTTACTATTAAAACTGGATGTATTCTTAAAAAAAGAAACTGGAAGATTTCCAACTTTAACTGTTTGATTGGATGGGTAAAAAAACTGGATTCTTCCGCCTTTAAAATGCATTCCGCGATTTTCACGACTGAAAGTTCAAATTCGCAGAATCCGCACAAACTACCAACTGATACAGAAACCAACAAAGAAAGACGCCTAAATCGTAATAAAAGATACTAAAATTATATCGATTCCTTAAACATTTTTTTAAGTTCTTTTAACGTTTCTGAAGAAACCTTAACTTCTCTGTAGTTCATTTGCCCTTCTCTAAACTTACCCTCAAGCGTCTTCTTGAAGCTCTCCCAAACATCTCAGAGGTAATCGTTGAATGCTTTCGATATTCCATATTATAGCATACTAGGGTAGAGAACTACTTCGGCCTAATCGCCCATTTTGGGCCTATCGAGCAGAATACTTCAAATAAATCCATGATTTCAGAGTTAACAAGTCAAATATGCGTTTGTTACGATACTTGAGTAAATAAGATACCGAACGAAGTCAATGAGAACGCGTGGTATGAAGGTTTGCACCCATTATTTCCAAAACAAAAGAAACGCTCCGACCGATTCAATTTTCATCTTCCTCCGATAGGCCGATGTGAATTCATTGGCGTTTCGATGGCGTTTCAATGCGTTAGGCCGAGTTTAGAATCCGTAGGCCGAGTTTGGTGTCAAGAAGCAGTGTTAGACTTTTGACAACATCTCAACAATTGGTTTCTCTTTTTCAAATCTTGCGGTACGTGCGGAAAGGTAAATAAATTTGAAAGCCATCAGTAATAATAACATTCCGTTTCGTGCTAAACTGCGCTAGATTAAAAAAGACTAAGTGCGGGTTGTGCTTAATAGGCCGGAAATGAGGTAGTTAACCCTACAATAATGTTCACTGATCGTCCTTGAAATTCAGAATGTATTTTCTAAAATTTGTAAGATTTCTCTGGAAATAACTAAACTTCAGAGAGGTTATGAAAATATTTGAAGCTTGCGGTTGGCTTTCATGAGCTTTAAATTTTGGCTTGGTTCTACCGAACAGAGCAAAAAATCAACATGGCACCTAGCATGGTACACAGAGTAACATTTTAAATATTTATTTCATTGCATCTTCTTCGCTATTATGATACTGTAACTGTCTGAAATGATAAAGAAACCTTGAAATAAGACTTAGAGTCTCTGTATCTTTTAGCAAAATTGCTCTTGCAAAAGGAGAAAAATCAAGAGCAGGAGCGAATGGTGCTGCATCTACCGTTGTATTGTCTGCAAACATATCAAACTTGTGTTATGCAGCGATTGCATGTCCTGCATTTGAATGAATTTTACGATCGAAGGACGGTTCTTATCATTCGAAACGATCATTACATTAATATTTAATGTTTAGCCTTTCTGTTCCCAACTTACTATGTGCCAGGTTTTATGCTGATTTTTCAGGATTATTCACAACAGAAACAAACCGCAATTTCAATCAGCAAAACAACCCGATAACCAATGCCTATGGGTAGTCTTCAAGCTTGTTTCCGAAAGTTTCCGTTTGTTTTCTTTTTGGTGCCTCTGCCAGTTCCCTGATGCTTTCGCTCACGAGTCACGGACGTATGTAGCAGGTAGGTAGTTGGATGGATCGTACGCTGCTCTCAACTACAACCAACCATCCATTACTGTACCAAAAGTGATGCGCGCTTTTCTGCCAACAAGATATCGTACGAAAAATTAAAAAAATAGCACCTTTACTCACCGTTCCATCAGACGAGGTCATCTTGCCGAGCTTCTTCTGAATCTTGAGCACTTCCTCCTCGACATTCATGCTGGTTCCGTGTAGGATTTCCCGGTCAAAATACGATTACAAAACGTGAGATGCAAACTTCTGGAAACCTTTCGACGCCTTTTTGTGTGCGAGTGAAAAAATCACTGATCTCTCTCGTTGTCGCACCCGGCTGACGATGCACTCTTTTCGACGAATCGTGTTTGTGTATCTCGGTTCTTCCAATGGCGGATGCAGCAAATGCGGTTGTTTGTCCTGCTTACTCCTGTAGGTCGACGCTCTCTCATCGACTTTGCCGGCTGTCAGGGCTGAACAGCGAACATAAAACAGGGCTGCGAGTTTTGCAGCCAAGCTGTACACTAATAGGTGGGAAAAGGGGGAAAAGCAAATGAAAAGAGATTTGGGCGTAATTGCATAACAAACACGTCCATCGCCGATTTCTTGCGAATAAAAGCTCAATCTCAAAAGCTAATAACATTATGAGGTAGAGAAATGATTCTTTTATCATTTGGTATAGTTTGTTTACGAGATTGAGCTTTTATTCACGATAAATCAGTGGTTGGCGTGTTTGTTTACAAAAACAATTACGCCCAAATCTCAAATCACTCCGGAAATAATACGCAACCGACACGGTGCTTCGTGAAAACTCATTAATGGGTAAAATAATACCTATTTTCAAACCAAAAAATGGAGGAATTTTGAAATCATGAAATGGGTGAAAAAATATCCATTTAAAGAATATTCAACCATTTCGTTAATTTTCTTTAATTTTCTATACATCGATCTTCAAAGCTATTCATAAGAAAAATCGATAGCGATCGTCACCATTTCATGAATAATTGTAAAGATGCTAAAAGTATAATCGTGAATCGTTTATAAAGATCTTTCTCAAAATATTGCTACCAATCGTTACCAATGTTAAAATATCGATTGTGTTGCCAGATCAAAATATCGATTTCTGTTGTAAAATCAAAATATCGATACACAACTGCTGACTTTATTTGTGATTTTTTATCTGCATGATTTCTAGTTTCGATCCCATGCCATCTGGGGTGTACTGATTTCATTGTTGGTTGCTAATCCTCGGGTCCACGGCTGCTGTTGATGAGCTTATCAACGACAGGCAAACACACTGTAGTATGTGGTGTATTGAAATTTCTGTAAATCTTTTCATACGTGAATTCAATATTTATTTGTCATAACCATCAACTAGTCAGCCATGTAGGTGTAATAGAGGTAAAAAAGGTGTAAATTTTCCTCATTGGGTTCCAACTGCCGAGAATCCCACCACGCATGCTATCACGGCTTATTAAATATATAGACGTAAACTTGAAGAACGACAATGGTAAACATTTGCTGCATCGCGGCCATCGGTCTTCTCGTTCATTTACCGGCAGATTGCTTCTTCCGATGAAATGCCGAATATGTCGATAAATAATATAAACATTGCCACCTGGTGTGTCTCGAACTCTATTTAACCAGCGTTGCAAATCTATAACAAGGAGATTATAAATGTGTATTGATGGCAATCTTTGTTGTTCTTTGTCAAAGTTCAAAGTTACGATGATATCAGTATTTAAATATTTATTGATGAATATTTGTAAAGAATACTAAAGTCCATGTGACATATCGAAATTAAAAGAAATTTAGTATGGCACCTTTATAGCACAAACGAAGTGACAGACGGAGCGGCTCGAAAACTTTGGTGACTAACCTGCTATTGCAATTTTTCAGTGTACCACATGGCAACACCACTACCACTGGATTGTACCACATGGCAACACTACTACCACAAACGAAGTGACAGACGACTAACTGCCAAAGAAATCAATTAAAATAATGTGGTTCGCTGTAATAGGCTCTTTTCATGCACCATCAATGTAGAGTGCGCTAACCGTTTTTGAGAGGAAATGTCATCCAATCCATTTGTTTACATCATAATGACGATTTTCAAAACTCAAGATAATGTGCATTTTATTGCACAACTTGCAAAATTTCCATCGGGAGTGGTCTTATTTTTCGATTATCTACAGATCTAAACTGATTTACAGCTGAAATAACCACACATTAAAAATCCGGAAGATCATAACCGCTGGGACAATTTTATAAACCTTAATTTTTCTCACCAAAAGTATATATAAGCACCAGCTGGATCACTGCAAAATCGATACAGAAGACAAAATATTCCACGTGGATGACGATTTCAAGCACCTGCGGTGGATAAATTAATCAGGAAAGGTGAAAATGTTTTCCTCTTCCTATGCTTCACGGTGAAAATTTCTACCCTCATCACTCTTTTGAGGGTTCCCCTATTCATCGCCAGATGCTGAAATGATCGCTTAATTTCTATTGGAATCGCCTATAGAATTTTCTTAGAAGCTTGTGCCATCATCCACCAGATGGGATAGTATTTTTGTTTTGGTTTTGCACAAAGTTGATTTTGTGTACAATGATTCTTTGACAGTGAGTGCAGTTTCGAACGCCTTTGGATACGGTTCGCGTTCGCGTTCATAGTTTTCGGCTGCATTTGCCGGATTAGCGCTGGCGCTCTGCCTCCCGGACGTTTATACGTGTGTCATTGGTAGTTTTCTCGCTTTCCGGGAAGTTTTAGAATATAGAAAGAAAACGTGATTCAACATGTTAGCAAGCATCAGAAGAGATGTCGTAATCTGCGTTATTTGATTTTCTCCCGGACCAGAAATTCGTGGCATCGCGAGTGATAATTTTTAATTTCAGTTTACGCGCTGCAAGGTGCGTGAAAGAGTTCAGCACAATCGGTGTTGATGTTGGCTCGATTGCAACTTTTATATCGAAAGTGTACCAAAAGTGCTTCTGAACGTGTTTCGCAGTTGGGAGTGGTGAAATTCGTAAATTCGCGGTTTATGTTCAGTGAAAAATCACAAAATTGCTCACCAAGTTCCCTTTTTTTGCCGTTCGACGACGACGGGCATGCGAGACAAAAATAAGCATCGTGAATGTACTCCCGGATGTATTGATTTGGTGAGTACGTTCCAGTTGAAGATTGTTCTTATACATATCTCGATTGCATTTTCGAGGGGACGTCCAAAGAGCTTTGAGATTTAGGCGTTGTTGCTTTTGCGGGCAGACGAGTTGGTCGCCGGTAAGGGTCAGTAAGTGCTGCCAGCAGATGAATCAAGAGGTATTCGAAACAAAATTGGTAAGAAATGTCCATTCAAATCGATTTATTACAGTGGAACAAATTTCAAAACTATATACGTGCCAGATTTGGAAATAATATTTTTTTAATCTGGAAGTGTGTTTATGATACCATTATCCATTTGATAAAGGTAAAGTGAACATGCTTGGCTTATTGTAAGTAAAATTGACCTCGGAGTGGTCGTGAATTACCAGGCATTCTGAAATGGGTCACTGGAGCTGCAATTGAGCTAACACCTTCTAACTCCCGGACTTAACCTGCTTTAATTTAAGGGTAATAAAAAGCAGTTTTCTTCCATAATAACACTGCCGGACAGTGGGGGTTAGATTGTACACACACACACACACACAATGATTCTTTGACAGTGTGCAAAGAGTGCGTATCATTTCGTCATTTTTTATGCATTTCAGTTTTGAGTAGAGTGAAAGAGATAGAACCAAAACATTCTAATACATTTGGTGAAAATGCTAGTTCAATCCAGTAGTAGTGTTGCCATGTGGTACAATCCAGTAGTAGTGGTGTTGCCATGTGGTACACTGAAAAATTGAAATAGCAGGTTAGTCACCAAAGTTTTCGAGCCGCTCCGTCTGTCACTTCGTTTGTGCTACTACTGGATTGAACTAGCATTTTCACCAAATGTACTAGAATGTTTTGGTTCTATCTCTTTCACTCTATTCAAAACTGGAATGCATAAAAAAATTACAAAATGATATATACACTCTTTGCACACTGTCAAAGAATCATTGTACACAAAAGCAACTTTGTGCAAAACCAAAACAAAAATACTATCCCATCTGGTGGATGATGGCACAAGCTTCTAAGAAAATTCTATTACAGCGAACCACATTAATTTAATTGATTACTTCGCCAGTTAGTCGTCTGTCACTTCGTTTGTGTTTATAGATTACTATCATATGACCGATGAAGAAATAATCTTAAATGTAAGTATCGATCAATAAAGATTTTTAAATGTGTACATCGAATTCATAGAAAATCCCCTAATAAAAAATAACCATAAACGAACGATAACCCAAATCATTGAACTATTCCACAAATGGTTTGGATGATACCCAGAACACGTCGTTAAGCAAATTAACCATACAATTTTTATTAGGGTTTAAAGTAAAGAATTGCTGACATAAATCTTTATTTCTGTATAAAGAACTTTGAAGAAGTTTCACAAATGGTTGGTCGGGATCAGTTCATGGTTGCATAATGGGTATATTTTTTTACCACTAATGGGTGAAAAACACTTTGAAATTTTATCGAGGGGGGTGACTCTATCGACGATGCAGGAAAAAATGTGTTTTGCTGCGCACATGTGCTTATAAGCTGCGCGGACGCTGAGTAGATAGAAAGAAGATTGATAACGATTCTGAAAAAGATGATGTGCGATGAAAGTAAATGCGAGAAATAGAAGAAGATTTTTCGAAGATTGATTCGCTAGTGTGAGATTTGTTGAGAATCTAGAATTCCGATTTAGATGTGTCGCCCCCTTCGAATTTTATCGTCTCATTTCCGTAACCGACTCATTGGGAATGCAAACAGTTACTGTCCGCAGCTTTTTTTTTAGCGAAAATAGACCATCTCCGGAAAAGGTTAGAATCCGAAACGTTCGAGAGTCATACAAATAAGTCAATACAATTTTATCCAATGTGGTATTATAATATTTCGTGCAATAAAATTTGATTGAAACTATTATTTTCAATGTATTAGATAGTTTTTTTTATTTCAACGAGAACAAATAACCAAGTGCCTGCCGAGGTGGGCGACTCTATCTACGATGCAGGAAAAATTGTGTTTCGTTGTGGTTAGCTGCACGCACGCTGAGTAGATAGAAAGAAGATTAATGACGATTCTGAAGATTTGCTGCAAAAAGATGATGTGCAATCCAAGTAGATACGAAAAATGATAGAAGATTTTTCAAAGATTGATTCGCTAGTGTGAGATTTGTTGAGCATCTAGATTTGAAATTTAGATGTGCCGCCCCCCTCGGTGC